ACCTCACCTAAGTTGAGAAATACAACTAGTGCCTTAGATACTTTTGTTTTGTTTTGTTTGCTGTTTATGATGGATGTGACGTATTTTCTCTGAATTGTATTTGATTTTGATTTCACTTAGTGCCAGGAGGAATTCTTAGTGCCATATTCACCCTGACAGAGGATGTTGGTTGTATATTTACAAACCAAGAGGCATTAAAAAAAAAAAAAAAAGCAAAACAAACAAAAAAAAAAAACAATCAGTGAAAGCTTTGAATGAATTTTCCTGTGAAATGAGAGATCTGTAAAGGGGGTTGGTTTATGTAACGTCACCATTGTTTGAAAAAAAAAGAAAACTTCAGTGTCACGTTAATTTAAAAAAAAAACTTTTTCTTTTTTGTATATACAGCAGAAAATGTAAGATTGTGGGAGGAAAAAAAAGCCAGTGAAAGCAGTGGAGCATTATTTTGTCAATCCTTTTGAGAAACTATTGTTCAATAAAGCACCTTAGCACCTGTGAGTTTCTTCTTCTTCTTCTCTCTGGAGCGTTTTCGGCTTGCCATTACTCAGACTGCTCAGACTCAGCCTCTTTGTTCATCTATAAATGACATCATCTCAAGCTCCCCAACGCACACTGCTGCATAACTCCCCTACCCCGGCCCCACCCCCTCCAAAAAAGAGAGAGAAAAATCCAGCGTGTGTATTTGGGACGCTCCACATGATGTAATTCGGAAGCTCTTTTTTTCTTCTTCTTTTTCCTCCTCCTCTCTCACTTCATCTACTTCATCTCATCTTTGTTTCTATTTAGGCTGAGGATTTATAGTTTTTCCTGCACTGCTGAGCTGTTGGTCTCTGGTGATATTTCTGTGGCCAGTGGAGACCCTCCAGACGCTCCATCAGTCCCCGCGCTTGCTTCGTCTCAGGACAGGGAGGCCTTCGCTCCTCTCTTCTCCTCCGCCCCGCTGTCTTTCTCCCGACGTCTGCCAGCTGGTAAAATTAAACGCTGAGTGTTTCCGACTGGCCCAAAGTCCCCACTCTCCAGCCCATTGACTGTCCCCATGGCAACAAGCTGCTGATGGAGGCTGTTGTCCGTACCTGGCCACAGAAAGCGGTGGGAGAGGGGCCTGCCGTGGAGCTGAGAGGTTAAATGGGAAAAAAAATTGGAGAGAATTAATTGCTCGTCGTGAAAATCTTTTTTTATTCCCCCCCCCCTGCCACTCGGAAGGTAGAACCACACCGCCGTGACCTTGACTCTACTAAGGTCACGCTTCAAAAGTCTTCATTTCAGCCGACCTGTCCGGCCGGGGAAGGGTGTCCGTCTCGGCCGCAGCGGCTGTCACTCTGACCTTAAAGCAGGGCAGGCTCGCCCTCTGTCTCGGTCTGAAAATAAAAGCAGCTCGGTAGCTGTGATGATGTCAGCCGGCGACGCTCTGAGTTTGTTTTGAGACACTTGTGTAGAAGATCAGCAGATTTGCTTTTCGCCTGCGACACAACAGTTTCCAAGGATACTTTTTCACGACACACAAAGGGACTAAGCGACCGTCTCAGCCGGCACAGAGGGATGCAGTGCTGACAAGAGCGCGTGTGCGGGAGAGGCTTTGATATCATCTCCCCCTCCCCGCACCCTGGAAGAGGTGGGCGCAAATACCAACCCATTATTAAAAGTTTCCGCTCCAATCTCCGGCCTCTGTCCCCCACCAGGTCAGGCCTGCTCATCGTAGGAGAAATAAAAACCGTGTTCACTCTTGCTTAGGCCTCTTTGGTTAATTCATAAGTCTGCTTCTCCGACCCTCCCCGAGCAACACTGTGCACTTCTTGTGGCCTCAGTGATGCTGCTGCTACTGCTTCGTTTTTCCTGTTGTTGTTGCTGGAGAGGCATGCAAAGGACAGAAGGGAGCCAAATCCCAGTGCGGGCACAGCTGATCCACCAGTAATCCAAACCGCTCTTTGGGTGGATGGTGTTTAAAGCAAAACTGCTTGTAAAAAGTTAAAGTGTTGTTACTTTTAAACAAAGACTGCATAAACAGTAAGTAGATGAGCGGGTCTTTGTGAATTAATACACACACTGAATTACAGGAATTAGTTTTTGATTGCCAACTCAAGTTGTAGTTGGGTTCTATGAAATCAGAATATTTATGAATATTTAAGACCAATAAAAATATTCTTCTAAATACAAAGGCCTAATGTGCTGTTGGTTTTTTTTAGCCTACTTCGTGTTGCCAGTCAGGTGGGCTTTAAATGCTGGTTTCTTGTTAATCACGCCTGACTGCCTGATAAAATAATCATCTTAAAAGGAAAGTGCTACCTTTCTGTCATTTTGGATAGATTATACCCCTTAAGAAATAAAATAATTGCAATTATTTTTGGATTTACTCAAATCACCTTTGATATTGAAATTTGTGACAGAACAAATACTTTTTTCTTTTATTCACAAGTTTCTTGTCCCCATTTTTAGCTTCCACTAAACTTCCCCTTAATGTTTACAGCACTCAGCTTCTTCACTAATTACATTTTTACAATTTGACATCCCAATAGAGGACGTCTGTCTGTCTGTCAGCCGGACAACTGTCACTCCACCTGTTGAAGTGTTTAAATCTCTTACTTTCTTAGAAACTGAATTCTGGGTTTTGTTTGTCGCTAAAATGAACGACTAAAATGAATCATTCCATTAGTGAAGACTTTTTTATATCATCCTAATTCTCTCCGAGCATTGCGACTTTAACCCAGTTGTGTCCTTCCTCTCTCTCTCTAAAAGTCAGCCTTAATGCCTGTGGACAGGCAATAAAGCAGACACTTTGATAAGCTACATTCTTAAAGTCAATTCGATCAACTCAAGAGGCCCTTTTTTTGTAGTTCACCAGCCATCAAAGGTAATAAAAAGCTTATTAGCTGTTACAGCATGAAAAGAGGGAGCAAAGGAGGGGAAAAAAGTGACTTTCAGTGCAACTATTCAATCTACATGGTAATTAAACTGTTATTTAAAATTCTCATCTCAGCACGTTATTGATTTTGCCCCCACCTTAGCGACCAAGCTAAGTGGAATTGACCATTTCACATTTTGCCTCTTTCTGTCCTTCTTTGTCCTCCACTTCTTCCAGTGGCCTACATTCACAAGCTTTGGGCCAATCGCGTCTTATTTGGGCAAAGCCTTCATCTGTGTCTCTTTTAATACATCTTAATCGTGATTAATCCTAATCCCCTCAGTGGACAACATGTAGAAATGCAGACATATGGTCTGACAAAGCTAATTCGTCCCACAACGGAAAAACACCCATTGAGGCTGGACAGAGAGGTAATGAGTGTCCAAATCAAAATGAGTTTGATTTAAACATAAGCAGCAGAAACTGCTTCACTCATGGGGTGAAAGCGGTGAAACAATTTAAGCTGTTTGTCCAAAAGTAATAAAATCTACTTCTCAGGATCTTGAATGCTGAGCTGCAGGTTTTAGTCTGCAAATTGAAAAGATTCTTAAAGTGCAATGTTTTGGATCTTTTTTTTTTTTTTTTTTTACTTTAGCTGCAGTAACTGAGTCAGGATTTCATTTTCAGAAGACAGGTGTATAATTTTGTTCAATTAAGTGAGTAGTAAGTGATTTTAAGTGCTAAAACTGTGACAACGTGCAGTTATTGAATCACTGGTAAGGATATGCAAGAAGCGTGCAAATAAATTCATATTTCATTGCGGTAATTGGATCTAATATTTAGGAATTCAGTCTTTAATGCTCATATATGTATTAAGTGGGTAAAATCCCACATTAAGGAGGACTAGTTATTAACAAAACCAGTATGATCTGACAGAGAAAGATGTTTTTGACTCTTCCCAACATCATCCAGAGCCTTTGGTCGTCTTTTATGCCCTGATCACTTCAGTTCATCCAAAAGGTTTTCTGTAGAAGTTTGTAAAAGATTTTGACGTTCATGAAATGATTCTGTCTATTTACCTGTGTGTTTCTGATCATTTTCCTCCTGAAATATCCTGTGATTTACCCATTTTCATGTTCAAAATATTTACAATGTTCTCGTATTTCTAGGAGTCAATCATGCCACGTACGCTAACAAAGTTACCATCACAAATCTTTCAGTATACTTTTTTTTCTTTTTTTTTTAAACATTTTTGTGGTTCATTTTGTACCAAACACGCCTTAAGTGTTGCTGAAAACTCATCTTTCATTAACTAAGGCACGCAGTTCTTCTTTAAGTCCCACTAGGATTTAACCTTCATATTTATGTTTGTCTTGCTTCTTTTTCTGACACTGCTACAAACAAATAGCTATGGTTTAAAGACGATGGTTTAAATAATTTTGTAGAAAAAAAATCTCTCTTGAAAATTTGATTTATTTTATAGAAATGAAGAAAAGAAAATCATAAATAAATAAAAATAGATAGTTGCTGACCCTGACCAGCTGCTGCAGTTCTCCAACAGCGAGCCCTTACTTTATTTCTTTGGGTTGTGATAAGGAATAAAGCATATATTTTTGTCACTGGCCATTAAATTGGATGGGGAGCCATATATATATTTTATATATATATACACTCCAATTAAAGTGTTTAAATTAAAGGCTTACATTTTGTAACATTTTCAGGATTCAGTTATGCTGAATAAAATAAAAACTGATTTCATTTTATGGCTTTTTGAACATATTTAACTATAAAGTTGTACAAAGTTTTAACTTCTGCATAGTACTCTCTCTGGCTCGCTCGCCTTTATTGCATTGTCCCTTTTTCTTGAGCTTTCTTTTTTGTTTTTTGAATATTTCTTGCTCCTTTGTCATCACAACCTCAGATTCTTTTGATCAATGCACAAAATGTGCTTTAAAATGGTTTACAAATGTTTATAATGTCTACAGCTCTTGTACAAGAGAAATATGAAATATGTTCTTTAGCTGCTTCCTGTTGTTTCGTCTGTTTGGGTTTCTGACAGAAGCTGTGTGTCTAATTCCTTCTGATGCACTGGAAGCCTGTGTGTGCTCTGTCTCAGACCAGTCTCAAGCGGAGAGGTCCAACTCCATCGCCGTGGCCGGAGCTGTGATGGGCGCCGTCCTCGCTCTCTTCCTCATCGCCGTCTTCATCATCGTGATTCTCACCGCTCGGAAAGCCCCTCCGACGGCCTGCACCGACAAAGTGTAAGTCTAACAAATAATTCATGCTGGAGAATGTGCTTGGCTAGTTAAATAACGACATGGGACCTCTGGAGGTTACTGGAGCCCACTGGTAGCTGCGGTTTACTTCTCGCTCCTGTGGACAGCTCCGCGCCCCGGAGCAGGAAACACCGCGGGATCAGGTTGAAGGGCAGGAGATCGTCTTTGTCTTGGCAGTAAGCCTTTGTCCTACTTTTGCTCCAAATGTGTCTGCAGTCCACCAGCTGCCACGCTTAATATAAGAGCAGAGAGAAACTTCAGGGTTAAATTATTTACACTGTCTCGGAGTAATGTGACTGATGTGAAACACTTTGTGAGTCTGTGCCATGTTTTTTTTTTTCCTCACAGATAAAATCACAGGGAGGATCTAGGTAGAAGGTGGACCTTCATTACTTTTTGCAGAAAGCAGGAACCTTTCTATTATGGAAATACAGCATTAACTCATGTACATCTTCTGAAAAGCAGCGCTACAATTAAGCTGAAGAGCTAAGCGCCTCACCTTATGTCACTTTTGGAGATGATTCACACCTTTCCATTACTTGAACACACTCCAGAGAAATCTCAGATTTAGGAGGGTAGATCATAATGATAAATACTTATGTAGGCCAGCTGTTGGCAAAATATTGACCTGTTCTCAGATATAAAACTGGGATTGTTCTGACCAACAACCACTGTATCCTGGTTCCGGTTCAGTTTCAATATTCCAGGTTCATTCCAGTCATTTTGGAACAGGAACGGTCATTCCAACACTGTTTCTACGTAGGCAGGAGTATAAAAATGTTACAAATTGTTTTGGTATGCTGCAGCACTAGGAGGGAACCCCAAACCCCGAAAAACAGACTGACACCAGAATCATCCTTCCACTAAGCTTTACACTCAGCATACAGTCAGCCAAGTATTGTTTTCCACAAAACCCAGAAAGATACACACACACAGACAATATATGATAGCATTAGAGTCCAGTGGCAGTAGGTTTTACACCAAGCCATCTCAACCATGGAAACTGAGTCAGTAGAAGTGCTTCATGACTTGTTCTTGAACTAATTTGAAGGCCACAGTCTGTTTGTCTGTAAATTGCAAATTTTAGACACTGTTAGCCTAGCCTTAGCTCACAGTTAACTGTCATACTATTAGCTCACAGTTAACTGTGAAACTGTTAGCTTTTAGCTTACAGTTAACTGTCATACTGTTAGCTCACAGTTAACTGTCATACTGTTAGCTGTTAGCTCACAGTTAACTGTCATACTGTTAGCTCACAGTTAACTGTCATACTGTTAGCTTTTAGCTAACTTTAGCGGTTGGTTAACTATCAAACTGTCAAATTGACAGTTTAACAGCTGTCAGCTAAGAGCTAACCCTGTTAGCCTTGCTAAACGTCGCTGCCTTTTTTTTTTTACCATGTACCTTAGGAAATCATAGTCTTAAAAGTCTAAGAATATTTTTAAAATGGCTTCATAACCCGTTCCAGATGTAAAGATGTTATTGACTGCTTCTTATTCCTTTTTGAATTTCTTTGCATCAGGGCACGATGAGTCGCTTTTTGACATCTACGAAAATACACTAATTATTGTTAAGGGCTGATTTTTCTACAGATTGGTTTAGATTGAATCTCCCTCTTATTATGCGTCATTTAAAGCTCAAAATAAAATGACATTCCTGCCAATTAAGAGTGCATGTAATTTCATGTCAACCCAGAAACTTTTCGATGGGTATAAATATGGGACTGACAACCCACCCACTCCCCATTACGTCTTCGTGTCCTCTGTTCGCGTCTACATCATGTCAGTGACAACTGGGTCCTCAAAGTGATTTAATAGACGTCTCCGGTTCGTGTCTGAGGCGTCCGCCGGAGAGCGGACCCGGAGAGCAGCTCGGCGCCCCTGCATCACCGCGCTGACACTACAAAACGCTCCGTCCGGCCATGTGGTCAATGCCACGACAAACTTAGCATGTTAAGTGCGACCGTGGTCGGAAGTCCCAGTGGAATGAGGTGGAAGTGGTGGGGGAGAGGAGAGGCGAGGCGGGAGTGGACTCGCGCCTCGTCCCTCTCCTTCATCACTCCCAGTCGTGAGTGCAGGACAGCAGGTCACGGAGAGCGCTGACCGTAATCTGTGTACGAGAGGGAGGGAAAGAAAGCAGCGTTAGGCGACACAGAGGTGGAGAAATCGATGCCTCTCGTGACATATCTTTTATGAATTGCCAAGGTCAGTTTCTAGGTTTTCGGTTTAGCGGAGGATGGGGATTTCAGGAAATAACGGAGTGACTGTAACGTCCACGTCACACGGGAGTCCAGATGAACGGCTGTCGGAAATCTTCAGATTTACTGGCATGTGCAGGAGGAGTCCATCACCTTTATCTCCGCGGAGGCCGCTGTCCCTCTGACAGGGATACCTGAGCAAATTTTATTGACTTACAACAGGCCCTGGTAACTAATATCAGACAAAATTGCCTTTTACTCAACAGATTTGTTCAAGCTGCAGAAAACCTGAGCGTTATATTTCCCAGAACGCATCCAGCCTTGCCTGGAAAACGCTCCCCTCTCTCACCTCTGGTTATCAATTTGTAATCTTAATAACATCGGCTTGATTAAAAACGTATTTCTGAAAGCAGCCATCCTGAACATATGATTCAAAAGTTAATTTTCTATCCTTCATAAACACTCTCTGCTTTGATTGTTTTATTCATTCTGATTAAAAAGATCCTCTCCTTTCTGCCATGTCTCTCTCTCCTCTTTTTTTTTTTTTTTCCTTTCTCTGCCAAGGATTGACCTTCCTCCGACTCACAAGCCGCCCCCTCCGTATTCGGAGAGAGCACCGGCTGTTCCTCTGGGAGTCCACGCATCACAAGTGGCCTGGCTGTGTCAGGTAAACCCCGCCACCTCGCTGCAGCCGGCTCAGAGGCGTGTGTGTGAGGAGAGACCACTTTGTTTGCTCATGATGAGTCACAGCAGATAGTCAGAATAATAATAATTAAAACAACAAAAAACAAGTGGGTTGTGTCATCATCTGAGGTTTTTAAGTGCTGAGACCTGATGGCTTTCCTCATTTCATGTAAAGCATGATTAATTTTTAATCTGTGTTCTTGGCATGTTCTTCTTTTAGGCTCACATGTAGAGTTGTTTTTGAGTTATACAAATCTAGTTTACTTTTTTATCATTGCAAACTCCACTCCAATAATCTTGGCATCAGAATAGTGCTAGCATTGGGAGGACTCAATCAAAAGTATAAGAGGCTGCTGCAGTTTGAGAGAAAATGAACATAGAACATAAAATAGTTTTGCTTGCATTATCCAGTATACTAGCCTTTTAGAAATATCATAAATGAGGCTCTGAGCATTTGTAAATTATAGATTTATTTGTGGACATTAATTGTGTAAGGACTGATAATGCAAATTTTGCAAAAAATTACATATCTAGACAATTTGCACAAGTTGACACCGTCTACAAAACTGGGGATTTTTAGTGTTTCTACTTACTAAGCGTAATAAACTTAAATTTACATGGTTAAGATTGCTTAGTTTTAGCCTTTTTTTAATATACGCATCTGGGTTTTTTTTGTTGTTTTTTTTTGTCCAGCTATAACAATAAGAAATTTTTTAGAAATTCAGTGTAAAAAGAGAAGAAAAGTAACAAATTTAGGCACATTTTACCAAAATTTAAAAATAAAAACCCCTTCAAAATATGTACTTTTTTGGCACTACCAGAGCTCCCTACAATATCTGTTTGATGAAGATTCCTGGTCACTGATGTCTGTCCTGCAGCCCATGGGGATAAACTTAAACTTAAATAATCTTCCAGCCAAAAGTCTGACGGTTCTGCTGATCCCAAATATGTCTGTCTACCTGAGCAGTAACGATGGAACAAAGTCAAAATCGGCTTGGGATGTTGCTTTTCAAACCTGCTACATTCTGTCTTGCAGGCTCGTAGAGCGGACCAGAGGTTCGAGCATCGCCCGCCCGCAGCAGCGAGGCCCACGCCGCCATCGGCCCAGCAGCGCTCCCGCCTGGAGTGGGTGTGCCATCAAAGCGGGACGGACCGGGTGTACATCAACCACCGTGAGCACTACGTGTGACAGATCTCCTACATGCAGTCCACCGATCACCCGAGCAGCAACCCGGCATATGTGCTTCACCTGATTCACCGAGCCATCAATCAGCAGGAGAGGAGAGGACAGGTGGCAGTGACGGAGGGAAATGTTTCACTGTGCAGGCAGCTTTTATCGCATATTTCTCCAAAAAAAAAAAAAAAAGTTAGGCATTTTGAGGGAACAGCCTGTTCTCGATGCGAGCCGTTTCCAGGCTCTTTCTGAAATAGGCTGTGCTGTGAATTTGTAGCTGTAGAAAGCCACGGTTAGCACAGAACAAAAGTGGAATCAGGGGAACAGCCAGTACTGCTCCCGAAATGTCAGACTTTCTCTGGCTTGGCTGTATCAAATGTTCAGCTTTTTTTTTTTTTTTTTTTAATAAAAAAACATTTTTTTAAAAACCCTCGCCTTACGATACAATAGAACGGATAATTACTTAAACTGGAAATCTGTGGCATTTTATTTATTGTCAGACTCACAAACAAACCAAACCTCAGAGATCCAGTGAGATTCAGTCTGAGCTTGAACACGGATATAGAAAATATGTGTGTGGGATTAGAATGTGTAGGTTTTGGACAGATTAAACTTTTTCTAGTGCAATGACAAAGTATTCATACCCATTGATTTAATCGCATATTCTCAGATTACAACTTCAAACCTAAGTATATTTTATTGTGATTCTACACAAAGTGGCTCATAATTGTGAAGTTGAAGTGAATATATGGTTTTCAAAGCTTCTGCAAATTCATCCAGCCATTTGGAGTCAATACTTTTACTGGATGTATTTTAGGGTACATATCTACCAGCTTTGCATGTTAAGAAGACAATATTTCTGCCCCTTATTTTTGCCCACTTCAGCATCCTGTTGAATCTAAGATTCCAATCTGGGCTTTTTCTGTGCCAAACGTGCTTCAATCTGAACTGTTTTATTGTCATTTTTGCTGTTTATGTATGGAGGTTGGTTGTGTTGTTGGATCTGCACACCATTTTTTTTAATTGCTCCATATTCAGCTCTATTTTTCCACCTACTCTGACTGGCTTTGCGTTCCCCACCTTCAAATGAGTGTTGGTTTTCGTTTGTGCTGCTATCATATCAAAATTAAGATAACTTATTAGTCTCCAATAGGAGAAATTTGTTTAAGAAGAAGTGGCTTTGAAGATATTAATGAGAAATTTAAAGGTAATTTTGATTTCATAAAAGTGGGGGTGGGCCCACTGATTGACCTTTTGACCTTTAAGCTTTCATTAATATCTTCAAAGTCAAAGCAGGACAAACAGTGGAGTTGATTGACACCAGATTTGTCTTATCAAGATGACAATTGTCAGTTTCATTAGTGAAAAATAAGAAAAACCAGGCATCACTTTCTTTTTTTTTCATAATTATGAGCTACTATGGTTGTCTTAATATATTTTAATCTCATTAAAATACACTGGAGTTTGTTGCAATGTGATAAAATGTGGTCCTATTTTAAGGCACTGTACCCCTAACCTTTTCCTTATCAGACACTAAAGGTGTGACTAGAGCTGTGTAGGAATATGTAGTTAAAGTGAATCAGAGTTTGAGTTTTAATGTGTCGTTCTTCAAAATAACTAACCTGTCTAAGTGCCGTTTGGGGGGCCTTACTAACCTCCATAGACCACTGTAACAATGGCATAATCCACTGTGAAGAACTGAATATAAGTTATGTTCCTGTGTGATGTATTTACATGTATTAAAATGCACATTTTTACCAGTCAGTTCTCATTGTGACGCACGGAAATCACAAACACAGCACGTAAAGAGAGAAAACAGTCAAAAAAGGGATTGATTTTGAACTGCTGTGAAACGTCAAGCGGCTCCACATGAGCGTGTTCAGTGAGCTTTTTAAGTAAACACTGACAAATGGAGGCTGTGAGTCACGATTTAAGGCAATAAGAGAAGCTGCCCTTGAAGATATGAAAGAGAGCATGAATTGACGCTAGTTTTTTTTTTCTTTTTCCTCTTCTAAAAAGAAACATCTCAAGGTCACCAACACATTACCGTGGCTCCCAGACAAAGGGATGTTCTTATTGTTAAATACTGCGAACATTTTCAAAAAGGGTAATTTACTAATAATGAGCTGGACGCTGCAATGAAATCATGTTGAAAGTGTTTGGTGTGAATGGTGTTATCTTGGATCACTCACAGTAGCACCTTTCCAAGATTGACACCTAGTGGCTGAATGTGTTCCTGCAGCTTTAAATGAAGGCAAATTGTATATTTTCTGCAAATGTTTGCATTCATTATTAGAGCTCGATTTACTCTCAGCTTGAGGTGCAATTCTTTTAAATGCAGAAGGTACAAGAAAAACTGAGCTCCAGCGACCCGTGTTGAATTTATGACAGGCACAACACACTTGTATAGCAAATACTTTTCTTTTTTATTAGGGAGCAACATTCCAATAGGAAATAATACAAATAGTAAGTACCAATAGAAATATTGTAAACCAAAAACAAAAAAAGTCACATCAGCGATGACATCTGCAGTGATTAAATTGTTATAAAATCACGACCAAGTTTTACAGTATATAATTGTACATTTATTGACACCGATGCCCACTTCGACCAATTTAACACGAACAAACTTTCAGGACTTTCTATTTATTCCATGGCACCAAAAGTAAAGAAAATGCAGGCTGAATGGAAAGCGCCGAGGGAAAAACGAGACGACTGAAAACACCGAGAGCCGAAATGTCTGCAGATCTAGATCCCCACATCACAAGTGATGACAGAAAAAAAAAACAAAACGTCATCACTTGAATATATGTAGATATATGCTACACACTGTATGTAATTTCAGCTCATTAAGACACAACAGTTTGAGTGCAGCTTCGTTTTCACATTGATTTGATATGCGTAAAGCAGGTTTCTGGCAAGGAAATTGCACTGAAGTATCCACACACTGGCTCAGTGTTGGCAGCTAGCTGTCAGTAAGAAAAGTCCCCACATGTACTAGATTTAGAAGTGAGCGTACCCCTTCGACGGGCGGAAATATCCAGGTCACAAGCGTCGATGTGTTTTACAGTACATTAGAGATCAATAGAAACTACAGTGCATTATTTTGAAGTGGAAGGTTTTTAAAATGGTTGACAGATACAAACTGTCACTCAAATTTTACGTCGGCTCCCAAAAATAAAGGAAATGAAATTTTGGGGAAAAAAAAGACAAATCCATTTTCAGTCTCGCCCTTGACTCCCACATCATTACGCTGCCACCAACATGCGCAACCCTTGAGATGGAGTTTACATTTTGCATTCAACACCGGCTTCATGTAAGACTTTGTATGGTTTTCCTTCAACTTCACAATTATGCACTGATTGGTGTTGGTCTGTCTCACAAAATCCTAATTAAATAAGCAAAAATCTGAGGTTGTGACGTGACAAAATGTGAAACAGTTCAAGACTTTAGCATTTTGAGATCCAAGCTGGGATCCAGCTGGAAAAAAAAAAAAAAAAAACTTAAAACAATTTTAGTCCTTCTTCTGGAAGGTTTCTGTGGGTTATCTATGGAAACAACTGCATTAGAAGTATAAATATATTCACATGAAATAAAGCCATCCAGGAATTAGAATTATATAAAATGTAAATGTTTGTTTGCTGAGATGTTCTCGAGAGGCAGGTTTGTTTGTTGTTGTTCATGTAATTATCAGAGCAAGTACTTTTGTAGATCTGTCAGCATTGTTTTCAGCACTGCCTCCTGGTGTTCAGACGTTGAACTACAAGTTGTGGCAGAAGTGATAAAGTTCACTTTTCTAAACAAATTGAATGAATCTAATCCCTCGGATTTAGTGCTTTAACTGAAAATCATTGCTTTACAGTAATCCTTAATATTAAAAATTATTAAAGCAAGAAAAAAAAGAGCCTGATTAAAATAAATTTGCTAAGTGTGATTAGTTTTTTTTTTTATTTAGTGTTTCCAAAATTGTTTAAACTTAAAGTTTAGAGCTCGATAATAGGTATATATATGAAGGTGTATGCTGTCACCATTTGTAGAAAATGACCAACTGGTAACATTACAGTTGCCTACATCTCAGTAAATAACATTTCCCACTTCATCATCCGCCCGTCCCTCTCTGTGTGTGAAAGGCAGCTTTGTTTCTGCTGTCGGCATCAATTAAATCTTGCTCCCATAAACAATCACAGTGGAGAGATGGAAATGAGCAGCCCCACCGGCGGCCCCACAGAGGACGAACGTTTTCTAAATCCCAAATCCCTTCAGTGTGCAACCAAAACGTTACTTGGACTTGGGTTTCTGTTTGATGGCGGGAGCAGCTGGGGGTGCCGGTTTGGAGGCAGGGGCAGAAGAGGGTCTCACCATCTCATACAAACTGTCAAACCTGCAACAAGGCAATGCACAGTGAAAAGGATACCGATAGCTTGGTTTTATTATCACAAACCGACATGTTTTATGTAGCAGGTTACTTACAGACTTCTGATTTTCTTCACAAACGCTCTGAACGCTCTGACAACCTTCCTTATCCGAACCTGGCAACAAAACGAGAAGTCAGAAAGCAAATCTAACTTTCTCTGGGTTAAAAAAAAAAAAAGAAATATTTACCTGTTGTTTTTTGTATAACAGAGGAAGGGAGAAAATCACAATCACAGCTGGGAGCAAAAACAAAAAAGAATCAAACTAAAAAAACAAGGATGAATAAATCTTGTGTAATCAGATCAGGACAGAGAGTTTAAAGTGTGAAGCAGGAGTTTAGAGTTGGTTTACTGAAGTACTGGCTAATGTTTCTCACCAGTTATGATCAGAGTCAGCCCATTGGTGGCGATGCCCACATATGTCAGCAGATAGAGGAACAACACAAACTGAGGGACAGAAGATTAATCATTAGATCATTAAGATGATACAATGCAGCTGGAAGGCAAACAAGTGGAGGTTCCAACACAAACAAAACAGTTTCATTTACAAAACCAGACCTGCACCAATCAGGCTCTTTCTGACTGAATTCAGGTTTTGATCAATTTGGATTTTTTGTTTTCTTGGGTCTTTCTTTTAAACTTATTTATCATGACCTGGAATATTTCTATAGATCTTTCTTTCTTTTTTTAATTTTTTTTTACTAAACTGAAAAACTGCACATGTGAGTACATGATGTTAGTTGGGCTATTTACACACAGAAAATTAGGCCATTCTGGAATAAAGGAGATCAAATTTTTCTGTACTGGAACTGCCTATTGATCACCAATCAATGGGTGATCATCTCTTGAAAGCATTTTTTTAAATAAGTGATATTTATTTTAAATATATACATTATTTGCACTGTTTTTTTCCTTCAGTTCTCTCTACAACCCCAGTGACATGTTTAAATATATTATACTGGTTTTTTTTTTTTGTAAACGCAGGTAACAATGTTTACAAAATGGTTGTTATGGAGACAATGAGTTTTAACAATTTGTTTTTATTTACTTATTACCCTTAATTTACAGATGGATGAGTGCGCTCATATTTTTATGCCATGTTTTCTTGTCTTTTGAATTCCATTTTGAATTCTAACGTAATGAATTATATTTCTGTGCTAAAGCGTGCTTTTACATCCGGACACAGCTGTCAGGACTTTGAGAGTTGTGTGAGATACTGTAATACTCCTACAGTAAAATATTGAGAGGCTAAAACAGTTTTTTTCTGCTACCACCAGAGGGCGCCAAACATGTTCAAATCCAAGACTTTTGGTCATGGATCTTTATCTTGTTAAAGGTATTCACACCTCGTCAATTTTTGTTTCTTTGTTTTATCATCACGCGACAACCACATCCTTTTTAGTTTCATTAATATTTTACATAAAAGACCAACACAAAGTACCACATGGCTCTGATAGGGAAGCAAATGATTCATAATAATCAGTTTGTTTTTTAATAAAAGTCTAGAAATTGCGGTGTTTCACTTCAAATATTAAGAAAGATCTTTTGGAATATCTCTCTACCCAATTTTTACGTGTGAAGTCGGAAAGATTTTTCTGATCCTCATTGCAAACTACTTTGTGTTGGTCACAAAATCCCAATAAAATACCTCAAAGGTTGATGTTCTAACAGGATAAAATGTGACAAAGTTCTAAAGCACTATCTATATAGAGAGAGTATATATTATCACATCTTTCGTAATTAATGCTCTCAGACCTTAATGGAGTCTATCACGTTCTCGATGAAGAGAAGGCGTTTAATCTCTGTGATGGCAAAGGCAGTCAGCAGCACCACCTCTTCGACCAGCATCACCGTCTCCTTATCGGTCAGAGAGCCGTCATAATCCAAATACGACCTGGGCACAAAATCACAAAATCATCCTGACACTTTTCCCCCAAAAATCAGGAGAAATGTGAACATGTCTGGCATATAGGAGGAGGCGATCCAGCGAACGTTCAAGAATGAATGTAGACCAACCAACTCACTGAAAGGGGTGAACACCAGGGTTCCAGTGCAGCACTTCCAGCAGTTTATAGTAAAGACGGAGCGTGGCGGTGATGCACATGATACCCAAGCACACATGAGCGAGCACAGTGATGGCGCTCAGCTGGAAGAGGCTGGCCAGACACATCACCAGGCCCGTAAACACCACACCGGTCCACCGCATGTTCCTCCAATACACCAGATCCATGACTGCAAAACACAGTTACCAGCAATCAGCTGCACTGTTCTAAGAAGTAGTATTTTCCCCACACACACTTTTCTTCTGTTTTTGCTCAAACTGAAATATCTTTCAGACCCTCAAAACCCAACATTTTAAAAATGTTGATTTCATTAAGAGAACCACTTTCAAACAATTGCATGGATGCATTTCATCCATGTCTTTTTACAGCACTGTTTTATTTCTGCCGCATTGGAGGGTCTGTTTAAAGTCCACATGACTTAATGTTGGAGAATTTCAAACATTTAAGTGTGACCAAAAAAATAAAAATAAAAAAAATCTGTGAAAGGGAAAAATCCTTTTTCACATGATTGCACATTTCTGAGAAATCTGCAATAAAAGATCAAATAAATAAGGTAGTCTATCGCTTTGCCCTGAGCCATGCTTATCTGTGGTTGCGTAACATAAATATGATGGGACCATAAACATGACATAAAGTCAGAACAATACCAGAAGAAAACAGGAGAAAATCACAGTTTTGTTCTATTATGGTTTTTATTCCCTGGGATTACACAAAACAAATTTAACTTTCTCCATAATTGTCACCATGTTTTAGTCTAAATAAGAACTCAGATAAACAATGCATTAAAGCTCTAAAATATGTTTTTCTAATTTTTCTAATTAAAATAGAGGGAAGAACATTATGTGGAAATGCTGATGCAACGTCTCAACTTATCTGCCAGGAAGTTAGTGTTTGGTATAAATGGGTCTTTGAAATGGATAATGATTGAAAACATTTTAACAAATGTCCAACAAGGTCGATGCTTTGTAGTGATCGTCTCCAAACCAGTTTCACCAGTTCTGTCAGGAGGAATGAGGCAAAATTCCAGCAAATGTTGTGAGAAAATTGTAGGAGGAAGCTCAAAACGTTTGGCCTCACTTACACAGAAAATCTACAAAATACTAAGCGTCGAAACATCTAAATCCAATGAAAGTTAAAGATATATTTCTAATTGTGTTATTCAGCAAATATGAATCATTCTGCTGATCCAAAACAAATTTAAACAGGAAAAGTTTAGTTTCAGTTGTGAGAAAAAAAAGGGAATACATGTATCTTTTTTTATACACTGTAAATGTTTCGGATTCAATTATGTTCACTGTTGGTAAGATATTTACTACTCACAACCTTTCAACAGAATCCGATTTAAGAAATTGAACTGTCCCTTTAAATGGAGCCGCCTTGTTTCCGATGACTCCAAAATGCTGTGTGACTCAGTCCACTGGTGGCAGCGACCCACTCGTCAGCCTCTCCGCTCAGATCAGGTTCGTCTTCAAAACAAACTAAATGCGACGGACCGGACCGTCATGCATGCAAAACCTGCACTGGTTTTGAAAAATATTTTACAGTCACGGAAAAATAAAACAATCTTCTGAATTTAAATTAAGAAATACAGCAGATTTAGAAGAACAACATAAAATACAAATGTCTGGAGCTATTAATAATGTGTGATGAAGGGCTCTGAATGAAGGTGTAACATATTATCTGGGATCTTGTATCAAATACTCAGCCTCTCAAAGATTTGACAACGACTTTAAATGCGGAGATAATTATCTTTCCTATATAAATAGTTGGGAATCTCACAGATTAGCGAGTTGCATTTCAAACAACGGGGGATGGAATAACACAACGAGCTGAAGCTGGGTTTTGTCATGCATTTCCAGAAACATGCTCAAACAAGATAAAATGCGGCTATTTAATTGAATTTATACGCAGGATTGAGCCGACCCACTCTCACTTCAGCTGGTGCACCAATGAAGTCATTTCCCACAGCTTGGGAAACACGCACCAAACTACACACTAATCCTAAAAACAAATGCAACCCGAACAAGTAGCAAATCAAACATAGTTGTCGATATCTTCTTCTTCTAAATGAATCAGGATAACACAGGTTTCATTTAGATGAGTCCCTTTTCTGTCCACCGGATATGAGACATGCTGGACTCAGAGTTCAACCTGGACCTCTTAAACCTGCCCAAAGGACAAACGCAGAACCTGTGGCTTCCCTCCACCTCACAGCTGTTCTCCTGATTCTCTGAGCTTTTAGCTGCCGCTCGTTATTTCCTTACGTTTGGAGGCCATTTCGGCGGCGGTCCTGCTTGCTCCCCTCTCTTCCCTGAGCTTCCACCGTTGGCTTGCACCCCCAAGCTTTTTTTGGCCTTCCCAGCTCTGTCAGCAGTATAAGGCCGCCCCGGCCTAATTTTATCCCATGCTGGATACACCCAGTGAATACTCACACACACACACTGAAAACTGGGAACCTGAGACATGTCTCCTCAGCTTCCTGGGACCCTCCTGCCCTCTCAGTCAGCGTGCGAGAGGCCTCTCCGCGCGTGTCCGGACCGGCCGGGAGCAGCTTCTGATGTGAAATTCATCACTGATCAGGATTCATGGGGAAACAGCCCAGGTCTGTAGGCCGCTCTCTGCACCAGCTGCACTCGGCAGCATTGATGAGAAACTGATGAATTTCAGATTAAGGCTGACTCATGCTGTAGATGGAAACAGCATTCGCTCATCACCTCACAGGAGAGTTCAGTCTGAATGTAAATAGGTTCAGCTGAGTCACTTTTAAGTTTGTGGTTTAAATTGTGTCTCTTTGCGCCAAATTCTAGTTTCTGTTTCAGTATCTAAGTTCGATGTTCACACTGAACTCCATTTTGACTCCCTTTCATATGTGTCTGACCAAAATTACTGCATCTTGGGGGAATTTAGACTCAATTTGGTTTGAAGACATTTTTGGATATTGTGTGGGAAAGAATAATTAAATAATCGGGACATTACAGGCTCAAATGTTTTTGAAATCTAGCCCAAAGTGTAAAAAAATAAAATAAAACACATGGCAGAGGTTCTTCAGACTTTCATGAATTATTTGAGAAAAGAAACCAAAATGGAAAAGTTGTAAATTGAAAAACTAAGTACACCCATGCTGCCTCCATGAAATTTTAAAGGTAGAAAGTCATCAGCAAAGAGCTTAGATAACTCTTACTTGCTGTCGTTCCATATGTGAATAGTTATAAGGCCACGTCCAAGCTGAGACTGATCCGAGATCAAAAACGAGATCAAGACCGAACCAGAATCAGATTCTGCCTTCAGCATCGTTATCCAGCTGTTGTATAGAGCCACATGACTCTCCCAAACAGATTTGATAAGCATACGGAGAAACAGAAAACTGTGTTGGAGCTCAGCTGACACAATCTGTTTTTGTTGTGCACACCTAGAGGCTGTGGCGCCCCCTGACATGCTGCCCTGAATATCTGCCACAAATACCTGGTACACACTGTCAGTAAAGGTGATGAAGGTCTGCACTTGTTTTACAGTCACCAATTCGACCAACGAAAATAAAAAAATATTTGCCCCACAGCTAAGGTTTGGGCAGAAACTGGTTAATTAATGGAGTATTTTTCCAAACAGCAACAAATTTATAACAGAGGAGGAGAAAGGAAAAATGACTTGAGTGTTGCTTTTGGGTCAAAGTCCAGACCTCAGCTTGATTGAAAGCTTGTGCTTACTAAGGGCAAACTTCAAAGAACTGAAGAAGAAGAAATATATATATAAATAAAAGTCGCATTGAGAATGATGGGGTGTACTTAGTTTTTCTTTTCTTCTCACAGCTTTTTGTTCATATTTGCCTTTTGCTGAGGAAATAATGCCAATGTGGAAGGTAAAGACTCTATAATGTCAACACACCTTTCTTCTTTCTTCCTCTTTGTCAGTTTTGTATCACATCAAAACTAACAAAATAACAACAAACAAATAAAATGAAAAAAACCAGTCTTTTAGGCTAATTCCATAACATGCAACTGTTTCATTTAGATGACTTGCAATATTTTATCAAATTGTATTTTGGGTTTTTTATGCCTGTATTTAACTAAAACTCTTGTAACAGTGTTTGATTCTTGCTGGTATTTCTTGAAAAAGAGGTTTGTGAGCTCAAATAAATATTTAATTAGAAAAAATATGCAGATTATGAGTAAGCACTAAAACAACAAATGACTAGTTAGAGGAAATCAAAAGTCAAGTAAGTTATTTTCTTTGCTCTTTTGCGACCAGCAGCGTGTTGTAAATCACACGTCCAAAGTTGTCAAAGCACATCAAGCTACATGATTAATTACAGAGGGGGGAGCCGTCGTTCTGGCTGACCCCACAGGTTTGAGCTGTTGTCTGACAAACGCCACCAAGGAAAGCAGCTGTCAGTCACAGCAGGTTGTATAATCATGAGAAAACAAAATCTGTTCATTTAGATTAGAATAAACCCAGAGGGGATTTTAGTCCTCAAGCTACGGCAGCTTAATCCATTACAGATTTCAGTTTTTATGTATTTTTCCCACTTTTTTTTAATCAATTGAAAATGATTTTCTGTGTAGTCAGAACCAAGTGATAACAACAAATGTATCATTTAATTTAAATCTCCAATCCATGACCTTTGAAACAATAATACGGTTGTTAATATGGCAATTGGTTACAATTTCTCAATCCCTTTCTGCGAGTGAATGGAATCTATATCAAGTCTGTCCATCAGACTTGATATTGATCAAAAGGCCAAATTAGTAATTTGTATTTTTTTTTAATGAAGTATAATAAAACTGTCACTTTGTTGTGACATTTCAGTGTAAAACAGCTAATGTGTGAAAAATTCAAGCACCTGGTCAGAAACAACCAATCACTTTTGCGTATGCGCTGCTCACAACCTCCCCCTTGCTCTCTGCTTGGTTGCAGCTGGTTCACCACAATGGAGCGTGTTGAGAATGCTCCACTCTGATGATGATGATGATGGATGAATGGTTTTCCTGGAACGTTAAGGTGCTTCTTCACCATGCGCACATTTAGCAGCACGAACACAAGGATGATTGACAGCACTAAAACGTTTTAATTGACTCTGGTCGATTTTGAATGGGAGTGACAGCAGTATCGCTTGGGAGGAAGCGGAGGAGCTCAATTTTTTTCACAGATTATCCGTCTCGTAAACTGTCACAATTTAGTGACAGTTTTAACAAATACGTACAAAAAAGTTATTTTTTCATTAAAGGTTACCAACTGTAGCTTTAAGTTGGAGCAGCGGATTAAAATCGACTGGAAACTAAAGGCACCAATTACAAAAAAGTCACAGTGGGGCCGTCCAACAAGACAAAAGTCTTTTCATATTTTCATCTGAAAACATAAAAGCCATGCGTTATTCAGTTATTTCCCTTGTGATGGTCTAACAAATCTCATTTTTATCAAATGCTCGTCCTTACACACAATTAAACAATGGCTGCAGCTGAAATTACAGGCTTTATTTTAGAGGATGCATGTGTCACCATGACAAATGTTTAAAAAAGGAAACCAAATAAATTGTGATATCACTTTAAAGAGATCATCCACACCAGAGTCTCACCATCGAATCACATGTTCTCCAAATGGCCGACAGCCCTTTAATCCACAAGCCTATAATCCCGGCCGAGCAAAGGTTGAGATTACCATCAGCATGGGAGGACCAGAGCTGCAGATAGGAGGACAGAGACAGAGGGAGAGCAACAGGGGAAGAGATTGGTGCACACAAATAGCCAGCCAATCACCGCAGAGGCAGGGAAAATAACAAGGCCGGCGGGGGGAGAGCTGGAGAAAGAGGGCAGAGCTATGAAAAAGCGAGGGAGAAGGTGAAATCACAGACCCACAGAGAAGACACCAAAAAACAAAGAGGAGAGAGGAAGGATGAGGGGAGGAGAGCGTGCCGATCAGTGAGGTCTTCAGAGGGAAAGACGAAAGGAGATGAGCATCGAGAGGGAGGGGAGCAGAGCATCCATCAGCTGAGGCAGCCATGCTCTGAGCCCTGGAGCAGCAGGGCTACGCAGACACAGCACAGGCCCAGAGTCAGGCCAGAAGCTCGGCCCTGCGTCCCATCCACAAGCACCAGAGCCGGGACAAGCGAAGATCACACCCTCACCAGCTGGACATAGGAGTCATGAGGACGGCCAGGAAGGGCAACGTGGAGATGCCTGCATTCGTACGGCAGCTGGTCAAAGAAACAGAGAAGAGGGTCAGCTCTTTCTTCAAAGGGGGACGCGGGGGGACGTCGGACGGGGAGCAGACGGGGGAGGGGGAGAAGGAGGAGGTGATCCCCAGCCCGTACCTGGACCGGCCGGTGCTGGACAAGCTGACAGAGGAGGGCTGCGCCCGCTGGGGCCTCACCTACGCTCTGGGGAGCATGCAGGGCTGGAGGGCCAACATGGAGGACTTCCACAACTGCGTGCCGCAGCTGGGAGGAGAGTTCGCCGAGTGGAGCTTCTTCGCCGTGTTCGACGGCCACGCCGGCAGCACGGTGGCCCAACACTGCTCCCAGCACCTTCTGGGGCACATCCTGGCCACAGGTAAAAGATTTCACACGAAACATGTGATGAAGGCATGCAGTTTTTTTTGGGGGGGGGGGTCGGGTTCAGTTTCAATTTACACTCATTTGTGCACACAGGTGGGATCGGACCTGAGGACAACCCTGAAAAGGTGAAGGGGGCCATCATAGAGGGCTTCATGCAGACAGACAAACACCTGCACTCTGTGGCCCGGCGAGAAGGCTGGGAGAGAGGCGGCACCACCGTGGTGTCCACCCTCATCTCCCCATACTACATCTACTTCGGCAACTGCGGCGACTCCAGGGCCGTGCTGAGCCGCTCGGGGCAGGTGCGTTTCTCCACCGAGGACCACAAACCGTACAGCCCTCTGGAGAAGGAGCGCATCGAAAGCGCCGGCGGGTCGGTGTCCCTTCAGAGGATCAACGGTTCCCTGGCCGTGTCCCGAGCGTTGGGGGACTTCAGCTACAAAGGGGCGGAAAACCGGACCCCCAGCCAGCAGATGGTCTCGCCGGAGCCAGAGGTGTGTGTGGTGGAGCGCTCGCCCATGGACGAGTTCCTGGTGCTGGCCTGCGACGGCGTGTGGGACACCATCAGCAACGAGGAGCTCTGCGCGTTCGTCCACAACCGGCTGCAAGTCTGTACTGACCTGAGAGATGTCTGCATGCAAGTCATCGACCTCTGTCTGTACAAGGTCAGAGTGACGTCTATGCGTGTCGCTTCAGGTTTAGTGGGTCACAGCATGGTTCCACTGTGAAGAACAACGAAGAGTTTTACTTAGAGCACAAACCAAAACAGGAGGTTTCATAATTCTGTAGGTTTTATCCCTGATCTAAAGGTTTTAATTCAGCTTAGAGTAACATTGCCAGTCAATCTTCAGACAGTGTCATGTTTAAAAGGATCAATAATTGTTTAATTAGTTATTTGATTTTAATTTGACAGGTAGTTGGCTCAGCAGGAACTTGAAATAAAATCAAATGTTACTGTGCAATGGGAATTAAAATTGTGTTTTTAAGAAATGTAATGCAATTTGAATACAACAGGTTTAGGAGTAGGAGTTTCTTAAAGAGACAGAGGCCCAATTTCAAGATTTAGATTGCCAAGTGAAATTTCTTTGAAGTTTCACTTACAGCATTTTGTAACAACTTAAGATAGAATAGTTACGTGATTGTGCTTTAAAATGGCACTGTATGCCTGGAAAATACATAATATTTTGAACACAAGCAATTAGAAGAGGGCTGCTTATAAAGACACATGTAGCAATTATCGGAATTTTGTGTTTTTGGCCAGTTCCAATTTTCTCATTAAGTCCTACAATATCTGATGAAGAAGCAATGACATTCAAAAAAATTTTTCTGGCCATGATTTCATTGGTTAATAATTAGCATTAAGAGCAGAGGCGACTTCACGCTGTGTGTACTCTGCTCAAACTTCCTGCCTTAAATCTTGCTCTCTCCCTCACTCGCTTGTGTCTTAATTAAACCGCAGGCATGCCAATAGTTTCCAATGTCTCTATACTTCCTCTGATTTAATTTAAACACTCCAGTGACTCTGACAACAGCTGTCTTACTGAGTTTTCTTCACTGAGCAACAACTTCCTCACTGCAGAGTGTTGTGTGAGCAACCTGATTGGTTTTATTTATACATTACAGGTTAATAGGAATATACCTGTTTGTGCTGTTGCATTCTTGTGAACAATACTGAGAATCCCTGGTTGTGAAAGCCAGGACACTGACTGGAAATCCAGCGCTGACCTCTGCTAAAGCTTCATTTACGCTGCGGCTGCTCTTCATGGTATAACAGCCTTCTCAGCGCTTCTAAATAGCCTGCAGGAGTGTCATTGATTTCTCCTGGATCCCCAGTCAAACGGACCCATTTCAGAAACTATCACAGATCACATCCCAAAAATCTTTATGCATACAAGATTTGATTCCTTGTAGAAAGATATTCTCACAAATCAACACACATTCTTCCTCCTGTGCTCCATCCTGCCGGGACATCATGTCTCAGTTATGTAACGAGCTTCAGCTTGAATGTGCAGCACAAAGTCAAAATGTTCTGCTCGGTTTACATTTTCCTGCTTCACTCCATCCGTGTGACAGAGGCGGTGCAAAACCTTGAGACGCAGCTGACCCATTTCTAAAGCGATTCAGGCAGGGCGAGAGCGATCATTACTCATCCCGTGCTGACGCCGCTTCGCTCTGCTTCACAGGGCAGCTTGGACAACATCAGCATCATCTTGCTCTGCTTCCCGGGCGCCCCCCAGCTGTCAGCAGAGGCATTACACCAGGAGGCCGAGCTGGAGGACTTCCTGGAATCCAAAGTGGCAGGTGTGTTGGGGGGAATAAACTTTATAATGCCATAGACTCTGCTATTCAACTTTAAAACCACGGTTTTCTCAAACCTTCCGACTGCAACTTCAATATCTGCATTTATAAACCCAAACGTAGATACATTTGTGTATTGGCAATTACGTCCCAAATTGATTATGATGCAGTTAAAATAAATAAATTTAAAAAAAGACCTTACCTTTGTCATAACTCCTTGATTGTGTTTTACAGCTGCCTCCCATTTCAGTGGAGTAGGAAGCTGAGAGTAATTAAAGCTGCTGAACATGTGACATGCACTATTTTTAAAAATTAGCCTCTAATAGACCTTTTTCACGCTTCCGGGTTTGAAAGCGGATGTGGGGTTGGACAACTTCCGGAGGCTATAGCGTTAGCATTAAAAGGCCAGGAAAATGGCTCAGTCTCGGCGCAGTTGTTTTTTTTCAGTCCCTGGTTGTTCATGTGGGGCAAGAAAACAGCCTTATCTGTCATATCATGCGTTCCCGACGGACCCGGACCAACGGAGGCAGTGGATCCAGGCGATCCGAAGAGATAAAGGTCCGGACTTTTGCATAAAGACGGGGAGCACTTTCGTATATAGCCGCCACTTCACACCGGAGGATTTTATTAGCGGATCCACCACCAGCCGCCTTAAAAGTGGAGCTGATCCTTCCCTGTTTGCCTGGAATAACTTCACTGCACCGGCAATGTGTTTATTTATATATATATATATATATATATATATATGGAATCAACATATGTGCTATTAGTGTTTTGCAGAGATGATCTAATAACTTAGTTTAATGTAATGCTACACAATGCAAACAGCACCGATAGAAATTATTCACCTCCTCAAAGTTTTTCCACCTGTTTACAACTCCACATAAAAAATAAACACAAGAATTGGTGTTATAAAATGAAATAGCAGATGCAAAATAACAATAATGTTGAATTGCAATTCATTAAAATGCTGCCCAATACAAAAGGTGATTTGCAACAAGCAAACTGAAGGAGCATAAATGCAATTTAAAAAAAATGCCACACTAAAAGACGAGGGCAGGCTATAGGCATTCAGCAATATCCCGAAAGGCCTATTAGAAAGAAAGTCAACCATCATACTCTCCAGCAAACTTAACATTAATTATTTTTGTAGAGTTCAGCAAATAAGAAGTGCTAATAGTAAACAGATGCAGAGAGTGATAAGATAACCAAACATAAGAAATTAAAACGATGTGTGATTTGAACAGACAAGGTTGCCAACAGAACTGCAGAACAAAGCAGTTTACTTCAAAAGTGAAAGTACACAAAGTATGGAGGTGTTTGCTAAAAGTGCCTATGCGAGTGTTTCTGTGTCCTGATGTCTGACAGAAATCTATGACGAGCTGTCCGCCTCCGGGGAGGAGCCTGACCTGCTGTCTGTCCTCACAGTCCTGGCGTCCACCGTCATTCCTGGATTACCTCCAGGTGGAGGCATACAGAGCAAGTAAGACAGCCAAAATGGAACCTAATGTGTCAACATGTAAAGTCAAAGCTACACCTATAGACTGGTAACAAAAAAAAGAACACCATGTCACTTTTGTGTTACAGAAGAAACTGTATTATCTCTGCTTACTATCATCAAAGAGAGACACACAAGCCTGCAGTACCAAATGTAAGTCCACACTAAACAGTTTTCTCACTGAAATCCATTTATTTTATCTTAATATGTAAAATATACCTCTGTTTTCAACATTGTTTTTTATAACAGGCTCTGGGAAGTTCATGAGACCTTGAAGTGGAGACTCTCTGACTCAAAGGGACTGTAATAAATGTGAATATTAAACTGTTTCCTCATGTGTGCAATCTGACCATAAGGGGGAATCACATGACCTGGCAAAGGTGTTTGTTTACATCATGCTCGCAGGCAGCATCTTGTTAAAACAAATGCAATGCACAAAGAGATCTAATAAAGCCTAAAACTTTATATTTGTACCAGACGGATATTTTGTAAAACGTACTCAGACACAGAGCAAGGAATGAACCTCTGCCTCTAATTCAGTGAACACACAGCACAGCTACTCAAGTCCAAGGACACATCAGTACAACTGGATTAAAGCCAACTGTGACACTACATTTTCATTGGATAAAAAAGCAGGACTATTTGATGCACATGAAGTTGTATTTTAAAGAAAATTGTAAGTAAAAATGTTTAGAATTAAACAGTTAATTGTCAAACAAGACATATGTGAGCATGCAAATGGCTATTTGTTCCTACAGGAAATAGTAACAGTGAAAGGGAGTCAGGGAACTCATTTGTATTTCTCATTGCCGGTGATAAGTAAATAATTACAAATATTTTATTATACATAGATAAAGGAAAAAATGCATTTCACAAACCAGAAGAGAATTTTTTTTTTTTATAAAGTGGATGATAATGTCTGTATTTTATTGTAACTGCAGGGAAGAAAAAAAAGCATCTGCTTATCAGGAAGTTCGACCAGAACATATCCAGACAAAGGCCTGAATCTGAATTTAATGACAAATCAAATTTCTAAATGGCCATGTTCATGCATTTACCAACTTTCTAAAGAGTTTGAAATTGTCTGTGAAATATATTTTCTCAGTGAATTGATCATGTCCTGTGCTGCCTTATTCTTCTTTTATATTGTAGATAAAACATCAGCAACAAACAAGAGAACGGGTCGGTTTCCAAACTGGTCGTTTATCTACACCATTCTGCATCATCCTGTTACGTTTGTGTATCATTTTCTGTGTTTAAACATTAAATGATGAGAGTAAAGATTTTAATCTGAATAAAGAATATATGATTGACTTTTTATGTTTCCAGTGATTTTTATATTTTTTCACCTATGGAAAATAAACAATCTTCATTTTAAGATTGTTTAGTTTTTGGGAGACAGAAAAACAGACAAAAATAATAGTTAAGAAAAAACAAATTGCATAAATGTTAAAACGTATTTGCATTAAAATAAATATTTGATGCTGGAATTCTGTCTCCCACCTTTTGAACATATGGTAAAACATCTATAAGGACATAAAAATGGCTGAAGAAGAAACACAATAAGGTAATGGATTGCCACTGCAAGTGTTTGGACCGGAGTCCAACAGAAAAAGTGTCCAGGGAGCTAAAGCTTTAAGTCACCAAGCAGCGGCAAAGAGAAATAAAACATTTAAAGCTAGTTTCATGAGGAGTGCGCTAAACTCCCCCCTGAGATGTCTGCAAACTCAGTGAGCAGCAACAGAAAAAGTCTTCCTGCAACACTTGTCAAAAAAAAAATAAAAAATAATCCAACATCTGTTTCCTGGAGATTTGACACTTCTTTGATTAACAAATGGTAGAATTTTAACATTTATTTACAATTATTTTCTGTCTCACAGCAATATAATAAAACTTCCAAACTTACTAAATTAGTTCACAATTTCTGCCAAAAATGTTTCTTTATTGAAACAAAAATCTAAGAAAAAAGACTTTGAACTGTTAAAATAAAATGTCTGTTAAAAACACGCCACATCAATGCTACATGCCATAGATGGATACTTCTGTCCTTGCATAGTACAGAGTCTCTTAAGAGTTCGTTGTGGATCGCTTAGGCTTTTCTCTCTGTGTTTATATGATGGCGTGACTACTTATGTGGCACTTATTGACACAGGAGTGTGCTTTACAAGCCACATTTGATTAGATGTTCTCTGTTGAAAGCCCTGGATCTTCTTCAAGATGACTGTGAATTTAAATGACTTCTAAGATGGGTGCTTTGTGAGCAATCGACAAATTAAAACGTCTCCTTTTTGCTGCTTGACAGCCTTTCTGCAGGAGATATTTTTAAAAACAGGTCACATTCTAATTATTTTACGTTTGAAAGGGATAACTAAGAAGCGATGGTAGATATTGCGTTTGCACATTGTTAACTAAAGTGATCTGATACAACCCTCTCTGTTCAGTGAGGTCCAGCAACATGTGCAGCATTCTTCAAATCAGCAGCCTCCTTTAAGTGGTCCTTCACTGCTTCTTTCGCCTGATTGCTTTGGTATGAGTCAGTCACTTGATGACTTTGGGCCCTTCTTCACGAGTCTTTTTTAAGCAAAAAATTCTATTTTTTTTCTCGCCTCGCCAAATGAAATGACCACTTACTTGCTTTGCAGAGTTCACTATGAAAGTCCGCTGTTCTCTCAACTGAACTAATCTACTGCACTTGGGGCAAAAACAGTCAGAATTCACATGATTTGGTTTTCAAATGCAGATAGGACAAACGTAATGATTTTCTAAAGAGCCCAGAGCAATGACGCTATCTATCCACACTGGTTTCCTGCAGGCGATTGTTCATAATTCCCAAGGCCCCCACCCCTCCAGAAAACCCGTTCTGGTGCCCGTAGCTCTGCCGTGGCCCTTGGTGAGCAGTTTCACTCAGCTGCTTTTGCAGCAACGCCAGAGACACCTTATTGGACACCATGAACTCATTGACAGAGATCATCTCTCCAGACAGACGACGGCCCAGATGCACTTCAGCCCCTGGACCAGCGTCTGTCTCGCTGTCACACACACTTTCCACAGAGCCGTCTGTGTAGCGTTGCCTTCCCATGGTGCACTGGGTGGAGATAGGCTGCACAGCGTTGCGTTTCACTCGCTTGAGTCTGAGGCGTGCCGCCGGACCCCTCTGGCTTTGCTTTTTACCTCGAAGGCAGGGGCAGGAACAGAGCTTACGCTGCCCAGAGCAGGCCAGCTTCCCCAGGATCCAGTTGAGAGTTTGCTTGATAATGATAGAAATGACATTGAAGAGCGAGTAGATACAGCACACTCCCATCAGGATGAAAAGGCAGTTTCCGAGCCTGTAGGCTCCTTGGGATTCATAGTGCTCCCTCTGGCTGCTCACCAGGTCCCCAAAGCCGATGGTGCTGAATGCCACGAAGCAGAAATAGAGGGAGTCGACGTAGCTCCAGTTCTCCATGGTGCTGTACAGGGTGGAGGCGCTGCAGGCAATCACAACGGACGCCAGTCCCAGAATCAGCATCACGTAATAGACTGACGGTTTCCAGCCTTCCAGGCTGTCCTCTTCACCGGATGATTCCTCTCTGCTTGACACCACACCCGCTCCTCCGCACCTCAACCGCCGCTCATGACACCAGCGCATAATGTATGCCAACATGGTGATGATCCTTTCGAGGAAGAGGTTGAAGAAGAGGATGGTGGCAGCGCAACCAATGAGGCCATAGAAGATGAGGAATATCTTTCCGGCGATGGTGGCCGGTGTGGTCATGCCAAAACCTGGAAAGGACAAGTGAAGGTTAAAAAACTGAGAGAAATTTTTTAATCAAACAAAATTGTTGTGAAAATTTTTTGCTTGGACAAAAATTTTTCATCATCATGAAAATGTTTCCAGAGGTCATCAAAGGTCAACCAGCATCCTCCACCACATTTACAAAATCAAACAAAATATGGTATCAAAATTTAAATTGCACAAACCATCACAAATGTAGCACAATAGACTGACATCAAACCCTGTTTGATGTCCTCATTAAAGTCACTTTTATGTATGAAATTTTTTGCTACACAAAAGTTTGACACCAATTTGGTTAGATTTGAAGAAAACCCCAGCACCCTCTTCAAACATTACTCAGGTAAAGTCAGCGGTGGCAGCATCTTCACAATTATTGCCTCAATTACTGAAGATTTCATTTCAAGTGTATAAAAGTGAGTCATTACCAATAGTAGAGACCACAGTCCCCACAAAGTAAAAAGCTCCAGAAAAGTCCCAGCGTGGCCTCAACTCGTCCACTCTGATCCCAGCTCCGTTCGCCTGCTCGTACTGCCGCAGCAGGGTGTGCAGGGCGCCCAGGTTGACCCTGTACCGCCTCGTGAAGTTCTCCAGCTGCTGCCTCCACAAAAGTCGGGCGCGGATCTCAAATGGGTGCTCCAAAGCTGAGAAGATAGCTGCTCCGCACAGCAAGTAGAGAAGGATGAGGCCGGCCAGCAAGCAGAAACGAGCGTTGTCTTCGTTCAGGGGAGCTCGGGAGCAGCAGCAGCAGCAGCAGCCACCTGCAGCCCTCCTCTGAGCCATGAGCGCAGCCGACGCACAGAGACGCCACTGCAGAAGCATACACCTCCACCCCTCTGCCGGCGCCCCCCAAGTCAAACACCGTTTACTTGCATTTTTGCAAGGAAAGCCAATTGAAAAGGATAAATGCGCTGCGGGCTGCTTTGATTATTTTATTGTGGAAAATCTGGAACAACATACAAAAAGATGCAGAGCAATCAGTAGCTGTTTCAAATGTAAACCTTTTAGATGATTTAGATTCATCTTTGCCATGTTTAAACAAATCAAAGTGAAAACGTGACTAACTTGGACTGAATCAGAACCTCGTAAGGATTATAAGAGTGGAAAATAAACACTTAAAGAAAAAGAACCTTTGTAAAATTATACCATTTTACATGCAAGCCAAAGATCATTTAACAAATAAAGTATAAAACCAGTTTTTATTCTACCTGGATGTTGAGAGTCCGCTTCACAGAGCGTAGCTGGTTAGTGTGAGCTTCTTCCATGTGTGTGCTGAACAATGACAAGAAGCCTCTTGAGTTTTGTGTGTTTGTGTGCGTGTGTGTGTGTGTGTGTGTGTGTGTCTGTCTGATGTTTCATCTGTCACACAGTGACATCATCATCTCCTATAAAAACCACCTTCTTTTGACACCGCCCTGAGTGATATAGTTCTCTCTTCATTGTCAAAGTCCTTCTCTTGATTTTACACATTTACAAGATCCCCGATTGGCCAAACTGGACTAAAAAAACTTCACTCATTTAATTGTTGATTCAGACATTTGATTGTGCCGGCTATCCAGACACAAATGGCATTCTTCTAATTAAACAGGAATAATTAAAACTATAAAAACCGAAACCATTATGTGAACACAAGTTTGCCAAATCACTTTAATAACATCAGAGTGTTGGAAACATTATTTTCCGCCTCTGGTTTTGGGATCATGATGCAGCTTGCAGATCCACTAAGTGGCTTTTTGTTGTTCTGCAGACTGTGTGGGAGGATGTACCGAGCATGAGCATCAGGTTTTCTGTCTGTTCATCCCTTTAATCTTGTCTGGTGCTGCAGGTAAGGGCACGGGTTCCCCTCCCCGCCAGCACACAGCATTGGGCAGGTGTGGAAGACACGCTGCCCATCTGCCTTAATATGAAGAAAGCCATTGGTCTTTGCTTAGTGCTATTTTTCAAAATGTTACACAGCCACAGAAAAGAATGTAATTATTCTTTCCTTTGTGGAGATGTTTAACTGAGCAAATCAGCAAAGCAACATGCAGGTGTTTGCACCCATTCTTGCAAGTTTTGAAAATTCATCATATTTTGTTTTAATAGTATGGATGCAGATTTTGACATATTAGAAGCTCCAACTGTAATGTAGTCTGTTGCCATTTTAAGTGAAGGATAAGCACTTCCCTGTGTCTCTGAGATCCGTAGGACATTAGGGACAAACTGCAACATGACGACTAGCGAATACAGCAGATAAGTCGGAGACAAATATGGAAAAGACTAAAACATACACCCAATAATCCCCTATTGTACAAAGCTTTGTACTTGAGTTACAGCTCAGGTGACAAATCAAATTGATGATGGTATTCTTAGCTGCACCTCACAAATATGGCCCTGTTTGAAATTTCTAAGAAGAAACCCATTGCTAAAAATAAAAGCAAAACCAAAAGAAAAACAAAAAACATGAGAAGTCCTGTTGACCATTGTGGCCTACGTAGAAAAAGGCTTGTGTTGTTGGACACTGAAAATATTGATGCCTTCCAGTGTAGTATGCCACATGTCGTGATTGACCTTGTTCCTCAAGTATTTCTATCAATAAATGTTTGTGTCGGTAAAACAACTCTCCACTGAGAGAAGTTGTATTTGTAGGTTATAATTGGGGAAGTCTGTGTTTCCTGAAATAGCCCACAGGTCAAAGGAAGACAGTGGGTGGTGTGTGAGGAGGTCAGACATCTGCTGCACAGGCTGCAGACTGTGTTTGGTCCTGTTCCAGTGGTAGTTTGAGTAGGTGTGATTACCGCAAACACTATAGGTGAAACATCAAAGATCATTTCAACATTTTTGCAGGTGTCGTTCAATAAAACAATACTTACAAAAATAATTCTCTGCTGCAGGAATACAGAATATCATAAATGCTTGCCATCATTTCTACAGAATTGATGGCAATTCTATAGAAATCTAGCATGGAACTGTGAAAGCAGATTTTTTACTTTAAATACCATTACATTCAAACGAGGACTGTATTTTTCACAAAGTCGAGTCCAGAAACATAAAACATCTTGTTTCAAATGTTATGCTTGTATCTCAAGTTTTTTTTCTGTGCTCAGATTTAATGTCACAAATATTCTCCCCCCTTTACTTGAATTCTTCTCTCTGCACTCTTTCAATAAAAATGTGTTCTGTTAGGCTCTGAATATAGAGATTTGGGTACTTTCTTTTTGTAGAAAAATGAAGTAAATCAATTTATTTCAATATAAAACTTATAAAACTAAAACTTACTGTAAGTAATGTACATATATTTTAGGACAAAGTTAAAGAAATGCCATTGACAATTTATACAATTTACTGTAAAATTATGATGACCTCCCCATGGCACAAAAGGCTTAGCAGAGAATAACATAAAAACAACAAAGCGTGTGTACAAACAAGACATCTCATTTGAGCAAACTATATGTTTTCTTTGGGTGAGTTTGTAAAAAAAAACAAGCTTGTTCTTTATTAGTTTAAGTTAATCACACTGGGTAGAGTGTTCAGAAATTGAGTGGGGCTACTTATACTTCCTACTTATACTTCTTTATAATATTACCTACGTGTAAGTACAAAGTATAGTTTATATTTTTATTTTTAAATAGTTGCTCATTCCATTCGCGTTTCCTTACCAGTGGTCTTGTTTTGGTAATGTCTCTCTGGTGCCGCTAGGTGACAGTATTGCGCTTGGTGAACAACAAGTCTCGGGAGGCAGAGGCAGATCAATACTGACGAAGAAGAATTTAACGGTTCCCGGTTGTTGAACCGCTCTGGTGTCCGCTGCGCTTCACCGATGGATTACAATCTGTTTGGGACTTGAGAGCAATCGCAATTTACTGCCTTCAGGTTTCATTGCGCTCTGTGAAGCGAGCTCCTCTCGACTGTTTCCCAACAGCTATGCTTTGACAGCTTGACCCGGTCAGGATAATCACTGCAACTCCAGGTGTTGTTAACGTGCAATCGTTTGTTTGTCGTGTTTCCAGTCTGAACGCGGCTACGCGACCCAAATGCGTCCCTTTTCAAGCTAAATGTACTGGAAATTTAAGTAATTAGCCCTAACGACTTAGTGATGTCTGTGCTAGCTACATTTAGCTAACGTTGGTCAGTTAATTTGACTGCAGCGGACGCGGTAACAGTCGCTAGCTGACCGCTGGTCAGAAGATGAAAACATTTGCATCTCAGCAGCTTATTATCAGCTTTCCAAAGCCTGTGCTAAAACAAAGTTATTGTCTTTATAAGGCTTTACATGTTTCAAGTTCACTTAGTTTAATACGGCGATTAAAAATATGTTTACAGACTCGCTGTGACCAGAGAAAGTGAAGTGAAGCGCAATAATCCTAACGGGACTACACGACACATTGATGATGTAGTTCATAACTTACTCCCTAAAATCATCACTTCCGATGTTAAATGAGTACCTTGCGTTTTATACGTATTTTTTATTTTCTATTTTTACAGGATAGGTGGAAATGCCAAGTCTTAAACATCTATTCTGCTCACTACTGCCCCGTGTGGTGGTTTTGAATAGAACAAAATAGAAAACTGGGAAATTTTATAGATGGATAAATAGAGGAAAAATATTAATTTTACCAACAGAGCATTTCTGATCAGATGTACACAATTTGTTCAATTTGTCAACTTTTAGCAAGTATAATTAACATTTACCTAAGATTTAAAGTACAGTACCCTCTGGGTGAAAAAATTCCCTTTAACTAACAGGTTGTGCCTGCTGTATAGACATTTTACAGAGATTTTTATTTTTTTGGGAAAGTAAGGTACATATTTTAATTGTGATAATTGTCATGCTCTAAATACTCTGTGAAACTCCTTTTGTGTGAACTATAACGCATCTGCCAGTTAAAGTAACCAATTATGGTTCTCTTCTATCAATCACTATTAATTGGTATTTTTTGATTAAAGACAATTTTGTATTATTCTCTCCAGTGCAAGTCCAGAGAGATGGAAGACGGCTCTGAGTTGATGAAGGACATCGTGTTTCGAGGAGTGGAGTTTTCTGTGAAGATCGAACTGGATAAGAATTTGCTGATTGTGGAAATCTCTGACTCTGTGACAGCAGATCAGTGGCGGGGGGAGTTTGATCCTGCGTGTAAGTGGTTTATTTAAATAACACTTGTAATGTATGACACGGATTGTGCTTGTGTTTATATTTGTGCTTTTTTTTCTTATTCTTTCCGTTAGACATTGAAGATCTCACTCGCAAAACTGGCAACTTCAAACAGTTTCCTATTTTCTGCAGCATGTTGGAATCTGCTGTGAGGAAGGTGCAGTGCTGCATTTTTTATATATCCTAGTAATAATAATAATAGAAACAGACAGGTTTGCTTGGGGTGACACTGGCCGGTGAGGAGAGCCAGTGTTTCCAGTTGAGTGAGAAATGTTCTGCCCTCTCGAGCAGAACGTGTCTCACAGACAGAGATTCTACACGTCCGATCTTTCTAGACGTTATTTGTTAGCTGCTTCAAACAGGCAAAAAAAAGTTAACAATAGTTAATCTTCTACTAATAGACAATAGTAGAAGAAAAGCACTCGAATCCCACCAGATGAACAAATTCAGTTCAAATTACTCAACATATAAAACCATTTTTCTAAAATGAACAACAGCGTCCACAGACACATATCTGCTACTTGTCCAGATTGTTGCCTGATGTCGCAAATTCGCATCAAACAACCAGTCAGACTAATGCTGTTCAACACACACACAGAGGGACATATTGGAGACACTTCATTACCTTCTTACATGCGAAGTTATGCTTATTTTAGCTACTAAATACTTACGTTTAATTTTGTTGAATTTT